AAGATTGAAATGGAGGTTTCGTATCCCACCTATATATTCAGATCGAATTTTTATTTTATTATGAAACAATGTTATCATTTGAATTCCGAAAATCTTGATTTTGAAAGCAATATTTCATTTTTTAAAACAATGTTTCAATTGTTTAAAGAATATTTCTCAAAATAATTTAAAACAATATATATATCGATTTTGTTTTTAGGAATTTATATAATTTCGAATTTCAATCAAGTTTTAATTATGAAAAATCTGTTTTAACAAGACGCAATGCGTCTTGTTGAAAGTCCATTTTCATGTAGTGTTGTAAATTGAAGGCATGTGAGAGGCACATGCCCATTTTCCATCCAACTTAACGGGAAAGATTAACGGCGGACCAATTCTGTCAAAAAAATGGGCACGATTAAGGACTACTATTGTAACTCCAAAATGTTTAGGGACAATTTTGAAAAAGTGGGTAAAGTATGAGAACAAAAAATGTAATTTTTCCTTATAAATACAACTTTGGAACAAAGAATGCTCGATTTGTGAGCATTTATAAAAAACATGTCTCTAACACAATGTCCCAATATGCATATTTTGTTGTAGTGCTTGCTTCAATCAAAGTCATTCATTCTCTGCTTTTGACACAAAAGCTTTGGAGAAATTAGTTAGCCGAGTTTTATCGATATGAGTTTGATGATAATGGTATTCTAGTGCTTGAGAGTCAACTTGAAAATTATATTAGATATCTTAGGAGTGAACAAGACTTTCAAATATAGCGCGGACATGTAAGCTTGCTGAGAAGTTTTTTGCAAAGAGAAAAAATATAACTCATTCGTCGGTATATTTATAAGAGAAAGAATATTTATATATAACAAAAAAATTGATTATCATTTATAAATGACCATTTATTATTAATGTTATTTTACATTATATATATGTCAATTTTATGTTAACATTTCATATTTTTAATTATTATTTTTATGTATTACAGAAAATATTAAGATTATTAAGGTTATTTTACTTATAATATTTTGCACACCCTTGAAATATTTTCTGAATTCATCATCGGCCCTTGGGTATATCCACTCTTACAAGAACTCCCTTAGAGCACGTACATCGGCTTCTTTAAATGCACGTTAGTGTCAGACTTTTAAACTCACCAAATTTTGGAGAGTAAATAATGTTGCAGTTGGATCGAAGAGTACTTCATATCACTCGCCACATTTCGTCAATTCTTCAAGTTTTGGCCAAAGTTATTGAGCATTCTAGCCATAAAAAGTAGACCCACACATTTTTTTTATTTGTTTTTATTTTATAAAAAAAATATTAGTACATTTTGAAATTTTGCAGTTTGTTTATATTCATTTTATTACTAATTATGAGAAAGTTTATTTTATGCTTTTACAGAAATAATTTTTTTAGAGTTCTATTTCTTTATTTATTATACTCAAGATTTAATATTTAAAAAGAATAGTGTATTTATATTTAACAAAAAAAAATTATGACCATAAATGACCATTTATTATTAAGGTTATTTTACTTTATATATATGCCAATTTTATGTTAACATTTCATATTTTTAATTATTTTTTATATATTACAGAAAATACACAAAAATGCATAAACTATTGCAAATCATAATATGATTAAATGCTATAAATTAATTAGGTAAATTAGCAGAATTTCAAAATACAATTAATTATATCAATTTTATTAATTAAAAAAAAAATGAAAGTTTAATTTTATAAACATTTATATTAATAGTGAATATTTTATTAGGGGTTATTTTACATACCCCTAACCACCAAATAAAGTACTAGGGATAAACTCAAGCCCAAATCATCGTTTGACATACCCACTGGAGAAGCGAAAGTACTATACTACGCTTATATGCAATTTTCGGCCAAACTGCATTCAACATTTCTGGTTCCGCATTTATCATGTTCGCCGATTTATTTATCATTATATATATATATATATATATATATATATATATATATATATATATATATATATATATATTTAAAATTCAGAGTGGTGAAAAATAATTTATATCTCTGGTAAGATCAGTGTCGTCGAAATACGCCGACTAAAACAAAAATTGCAGAAACATATCCAGCACTCCAAATTGAATGAAGTATCCACCATAAGAAAGAGCTCGACGAGAGGAATCCATATATATTGAACCATCGAATTCCGACCATCGGAGAGAGAGTTATGACTCTGGGAAGCAATATCGCCGGTAAGAGACATAGAGGGGGGCGGAATGTGTATCTGGCAATTGAGAGGGGAAGATAAAGATCGATATGGGTTGACAAGGGTTTAAAACCGATTTAAAAGGGTAGTCTGGCTACTTCAGGGTACGCTAAGGGGGTATGTCAAATTATTATCCAAATGGAGGGGATTCGCACTAACTAGGGTGTAAACAACATCGTAGTGAGTTATATATATTTTCGAAATAAGGGGGTCTCTAAAATAATCACATTTTATTATAGTGTGATATGTGGAAAGCCAATTTGGAGAGCAACATAATATACCCATATAGCAATTTTCATTCGAAGAGTGATAAAGCTGG